TGGATGGGATGGGATGGGATGGGATGGATGGGATGGGATGGGATGGGATGGATGGGATGGGAGGGGAGAGGAGGAGAGGGGAGAGGAGGAGAGGGGGGAGGAAAACAGGGATGGGAGAGAAAAATGGGGATGGGAGAGGAAAACTGGGATGAAGAGGAAACTGGGGTAGAAGAGGAAACTGGGATGGAAGAGGAAAATGGGGAAAGGAGGGAGAAATGGATGGGAGGGAAAAACTGGGATGGGAAAGGAAGACTGGGATGGGAGAGGGAAACTGGAATGGGAGGGAAAAACTGGGATGGGAGAGGAAAAACTGGGATGGGAGAGGAAAAACTGGGATGGGAGAGGAAAAACTGGGATGGGAGAGGAAAAACTGGGATGGGAGGGAGAAACTGGGATGGAAGAGGAAAATGGGGATGGGAGAGGAAAACTGGGATAGGAAAAGGAAACTGGGATGGGAAAAAGAAACTGGGATATCAACTAGAAATATTGATTTGAAATAAAAATATTAATTATTTGAAACATACGTATTGATTTTAAGGAAAAATATTCATAGTTATAAATAAAAATATTGATTTTAAATAAAATATTAATTATTTGAAATCTAAATATTGATTTTAAAGAAAACTATTAATAATCATAAATAAAAATATTGACTCTAAATAAAAATATTAATTATTTGAGATAACATATTTATTTGAAATATAAATATTTATTTGAAATAAAAATATTAATTATTTGAACTACATGTATTTATTTCAAAGAAAACTATTAATAATTATAAGTAAAAATATTGTTTTCAAATAAAAATATTAATTATTTGGAATATAAATAGTTTTCAAATAAAAATATTAATAATCATAAATAAAAATATTTATTCTAAATAAAAATATTAATTATTTGAAATATATGTATTTATTTTAAAGAAAACTATTAATAATTATAAAAATACAGATTTTAAGTTAATATATTAATAATTATAAATGAAATTATTTTAAATAAAAATATTAAATATTTCAACTAAAAATATTAATTTTAAATTCAAATATTAATGGCTATAAATAAAAATTTTGATCCTAAATAAAAATATTAATGATTTCAAATAATAGTGATTTTTAATTCAAATATTAATGGCTATAAATAAAAATATTGATCCTAAATAAAAATATTAATGATTTCAAATAATAGTGATTTTTAATTCAAATATTAATGGCTATAAATAAAAATATTGATCCTAAATAAAAATATTAATGATTTCAAATAAA